CCCCTCCCCTCTTGTCAAGTCCTCCTGCTCAGGAAAGACTGCAACTGGCACATCAGCCAAATCGGGCAAAGGCTGTCAGTTTGGCCATGTCAAACACTCTGACTGTCTCTGAATTTCAGAACTTGACCAAACACTTGCCCAGAATTGCCTGCTAGATTGCTGGGAGAATCCCCAACAGCCACCAGAATCCATCTGGGTCCATGAGCCACTAGGGATGGACCATTTGAAGCCACCCTGCAGAGATAATGTGAGAAATAGCTTCATCCAGACCAAGGAATGACTATGTCAAAGGATGATGGTGATGATGATCTAGGTTTAGAGGCTGCCTCACTCTAGAATTACTCTTGGTGGCTTACAGTTATATCCCACATACAACCCCCCACCCAAAAAACTAATCAGCCAAGGTTTTAAAGACTTCCAGAACATCACCAAGGTTGGAGCTACATGGATCTGGGGGGGGGGGGGATATCATTCCAGAAGGTAGACTCCTTAAAACATCCTCCATCTTCAGATCATATACTGTATCAACTGCTAGTTGATACAGTATATGATCTGATATATTAGAAAACTATATCTAACTTATGGCTGATTTTATGAGTCAAGTCTGAGATTTCATGGGATATATTGATGGTTGTCATGGAGGCCATGAATTCCTGAGCCTTCCCAGAACAACCCTTTGGCCTAGGTAGAGAGATTGAAATCCCCCAACACCAATAGCCAGGAAGACTCCAAACCCAGCCCAGCAGTGAGGTCTGGGCGTTTAGGAAGGGACACAACAATGTAAGAGTGTCTCTACAATAACAATTGAGCCTCAGCTTAGTTAGAACCAGCAGCAAAGCATAGAAATATTAGGGACCTGAAAAATAGCCAAAAACAATGGGGAATGATAACAGATTTATATCTTTCAATTGGAAAATCTAAAATGGTCTTGATTGAATAGGCTTTATGTATTTTGAACATTAGAAGAAAGCAAGAGTAAATTCTCCCTTTTTAAAATTTCCTGCCTTTAATTGTGCAATGCTCTATCTTGTGGTCTATGGTACTATGAGTGGGACAGGTACAGCTGAACATGCTGGCCATTGATTACAAGCACAACCATAGATTACAAACCATAATAATCTGCTTGCAATAGATTATAAAATGTTAACCGATACATTTTAACTTAATACAATATGTGAAACCTAGATGACTCAGATATTATGCAAAGTCATTACTTCTTTTACTACGGTTTATAAATAAATAATAGTTTTCTACTATAATTAAACCAAAAGCCATGATATGAAATAGCTAATTTCACAGAACAATCTAAATTAAAGTCAAACCAACCATATTACCACTGTGTTCAAATGAGATAATAAGCCATAGTGTGGTTTGATTTTGGCTTAGTATGTCATGTGATCCAGCCACTGTGATTGGTAGGCCATGGTTTAGGCAGGGGTGGTGGTAGTTTGTCTGCTGCTGTACTTATACAATTAACTAGGAAAATATTTTTGGCTCTTTATAATTTGTTGTGTATGTAAAATCCTTTATCAGTCTGCTTGGAATCTGAAAGAAGGAATGATTGATTCCATGGTGACTTTCTCATTATTTTTTTTTTAAGAGCATAATATGTTTTCTGTTTCCCTTGCAGAACAGAAATGGACACCAGTGGATTAGCCATCTGGATCATAATGACTTTTGAATCAGTTCACTGTGACAAATGTTGAATACCTTGTTATGCAAGCATAAAATAAGCCATGTTGTAAAATAGATTATTGAATTATGAATGTAGGCACAGAGGTAATTATGGTAAACCAAGGTGTCTTTGGGGAAATTTATTGGTTTTATTAGTAGAAATTTAGGAAAGATTAGCTGATAACCAAATACATAGAATGAATTCAAGTCACAGAACTCAAAAAACTCAGGACTTAATTAAAAGCAGGCTCAGGCTCATTTAATTTATACTTGCGTCCGTTCTTGCTACACAGTGTAATGATTTATAGACCCCTCCTCTATCATTATACTATCTTTCTATGTCAGTATTACTTTAAAACGTTTTAAATTATGGGTTCAGATATTAAACTGCATCGTAGGCACCCTAGTATTACTGCAAAGAAACAGGGGAGAGTTAATTGCTTTAAGTATTGATTGAAAACAATAGGAATAGATATCACCTACCGCTGTGTTCATAGTATTAAGTAATTTTCCCCCACTATATTAAAAAGCTACATTAGATGAATGGTGGATTTTTTAAAAAATAGTGACCCTAAAGGCAGCTAGCTGGCAATCTTCCTACTGCTTTTATGAAGGCTAATCTTATTTTGAAGATTGCTGTTTAATTACCAGTGGGAGAATCAACATGACATCATGGTTAGAGTGTCTGTGGGAGACCTGTTTTCAAAACTCTGCTTGACCATTAAACTCACTGGTTCAGTACCAATTCCTCCCCCAGGGTTATTGTGACAATAAAATAAGTGAAAGGGAAAAAGTGAACTATGCATGCAAATTAGAGTTTCCTGGCAGAAAGGTAGAATATATGTACTGGTCTACGACCACAATAAATTGAATTAAATTAAATTAAGGTAGAATATAGGAAACTAAATATAAGAAATGTAATAAATTGCCTTTTGGCTAGAACAGCGCATTTTTGATTTACAAAGACAATTATAGATGATCAAGCCATGTACTGTAATCTACTGGGTACTTAACAAACCTGTTCTTCAGAGGCAGTGGAAAGAAAAGGTGCACCAAATCATGCATTTAACTTAATGTGTCACAGCTTAGTTGTACATATATGCTTTTTAAATAAATGCTGATGGCCAAAATAGTCTATTTTTCCTCAAGTATCTAGATTTAAGGAACAGTATGCACACTATTCCTTTTCAAGGGCAGTCATAACTGGGTAGTAGAAATTTAAATTTCAGATTAAAACAAAGAAATTATAGCTGTAATCCTAAAGATACTTGGCAACACACCAATTAAATTTTGTGAGATTTCGTTCTGAATAAATAAGTGTAGGACTAGCTGTTGAATTAACTTTATGGCCAAACTGCATACAATACTGGGATACCTGTTTATAGAGATTGTGCTCACTCAGTTATTTCTTAGTCCAGCATTATTGTTTGAGCCTAGGAACCCAGACAATTCAGTCAAGAGGGAGATAATTCTGTGGTTAGTGCTCTAAGTGAATTGTTAACTAAAGAGCT